ATAATTTTTATTATTCTAGCTTCTAATTCTTGCACATAGTTTGCAAGCTGCTTTTAAAACAGCTGACTTGTATAGAAACATCAGAGAAAAAAGTAAATATCACAGAATTCTTCTACTGCTCTCTAAAGTACAAAATTTATTTGGAGAGACTGAAAAATGGGAGCATTAATTAACTTTCTATACTCAAGAGATTTTGCTTAAGTCCTTCAGCAGAAGTGAGACAATTAAAAAGCTATCTTATTTCCAACAACAGAAAAGAACACACGAAGATTGGAAGAAGAAAGGAGAACTCAACAGACCTGTGCTAAAAATGAGTGTGTCTGCACTGCACAGTGCAGTGGCTACAGCATAGCCACATCCAGTTACTTCCTAGCTGTTCCACTGCTTTTCTGGGTGCAACCAGGTAAGCAAAAATGCTGAGATTTCTCATTCAAGCCTTATAATGTGACATTTATTTTAAAAAAAAAAGCTGAAAAAGGTTGGGTGCACGTGCCACCAGTACTGTTGGACCCACGCGTAAAAATCTCAGTGGAAAATTAGAAATGCGTTCTCGTTCAGTCTTTCGTTTACATAATACAAAGTCTCCCTAATTGTTTCTGCAGCGCTCGATTTGTGCTGGAGTAGGACCGTAGGAGTGTTATCCCTCAGAGAACAGGGATCATCATGAAAATGAGATGTGAATCTTGCCAGGCTGCCTGGCGTGTGTGAAATTTTAACTAGATAAATCCTGGTACAAGGAATTTGATTAGAACTGCTGAATAATAATAATTGTAAAAGTTCTGGAAGTTGATTTTTCCTGCTCTGATAGCAATTGGAATGGTTTAAGATTAATTTTAGCATTCAAAAGAGGTAATTGCAGTACTTAAAACCCTGAGGCAAATCAGTGGAAAGGATAATTATACCTGCACGGGGAAGACTATCTGTTTAATAGCTTTAACTTGTCCAATTAAGGAGAAGTGGAGGAAGGGCCAATCTGTTACTTCTTTAACTATTCTCTGAAAAAGTGGTTTTGATATACAAGCAATAGAAATTGCTTTGTTTTTCTAAGGCGATTCCCTGAGATTTAAACATTTTAAAGACTGTTGGGGGGATCGTGTGTCTAGTTGTCATTAAGTGCTTAATGTCACAGAGTGCTGCTGTTTTACCATCTAAACGAGAAAAGAGAGGTTGGCTGCATTTATGCGGTAGGTATTTTGTTTCACATCCTTAACCTAATCTGGCCATAATCCCAGTCTAAACATCCATGAAGAGATTATTCTTAATCAGGAGGAAGATGGGACAAAAAGAGGAGTCTGTTGTTCCAAACCAGCAGCAGGTTTGGGCTACTTTACCACTGATAAGAGCTAGAGCAGGCTGCAGGCTGGCTGAAGGCAACGCAGGATCTGCTGCCACAAAGCCTTCCCTAGGGCTTGTCTGCTCCAACAGGAACAGTGATGTGTGTCTTTAAGTATAGGTGTGGGAACGACCGGCATGTGTGTGTGTGGGGGGGGTGTGTGTGTACACACTCCAGTCATTTGCAAATTAATGCAGGGATTTCCTGTCAATGGGTCCGAGAATACATACTTGCATATCTAAGCAGGCCTTGATTTTACCAGGGGGAATAGAGGGAACAGAGTTTAAGAGGGTTTTAATCCTTCCATGAATCCTTATCTTTCATTTCCTTGCTGCAGTGCTGGCACTGCTTCTGGCGCTTTCCTTGGATCTTGACTGGTTAAAAAAGTTTTAAATCAAAGTTAAAAGCAAAGGCCCAAACCCGTCCTGGCGCTGGACGGAAAGGGCAGCGTTATCCTCTTCAGCAGTGGCACAGAGACAGGATTTTTTTCCTCTGCCAGTGGTTATTTTGAGCTTTCTAAGGCAGGCCTCCAGCAGTTGGAATCGCAGAACATAATTTAGGCAACAGACATCGTTAAAGCGAGCCTACCCGCTGTTACATAATACAGGTGGGTAATACCACAAAGGCACTCTTGCATATCAGCTATGGGTTTATTTCTGTATCTGCCCATAGACACATGCATAAATACGTACGTGTATTAAAACAGCATTCCAAACCAAAACAATTCCCTGAATGCATCTATGCCTGAGCAGAGCCCACAGAGACTGATACAAGACTGATGTTAATCACATTGTTCAGGGCACTACTTAAAAGCTGTCAGCCATAAACCCACCATTACCATGCTGGCTGTGCCCATAGATCCCACTGCAAAGAGTATAAAGCCAAATTATTTAAATACGGTGAATAAACACACCATTAAAACAGGATGATGTAATCAGGAGAAGGATAACGAGATATTTCTCAATTAGAATACATAATAAAAAGTATTTTGATACTGCAAAGTTTAAAGTTGACAAGGAGTTCATTTTCTCCTTTTCAGTGAGAACATCAGCAGTGGACAGAAAGTCAAACGAGCTGAACATCATGGACTGTTAATATTTGTAACAGTCTGTAAAATCTGTAAAATATTTGGTTTACCATGTGCAAAAAAGATATTAATACATAGGCTGAGACTGGAGCAGCAGGAGAGAAACGAGTACTTAGCAGGAGCAATGGGTATGTTTGGTTTATTAAAGTCCAGATCCTACAGTAGCTTTACATAGCTTTATTCAAGGAGAATGATCTAATCCAAAGAGAGGTTTCCTGAGCTCTACACTGCAATTAATCTTCCCATTCTTTTGATTAATTGCAGACACACACCTTATCACTCCTATTAAACGACCTGAGTGCATTTCCAGTCCCCTGGCAGCATGCAGTCTACTGGTGCTTGAGGACTAGCAAGGAAATAACTGACCACAACACACGGTTTTCATGGGGCAGTGCTTTAATGATTAATAAAAATATGGATGGCACCACAACAGCCTCTCTTCTCGATCCCAGCTTCTAAAAAAACAAAAGCAGGAGCCAAAGATAGATGTTGAAACTGTTATCTGATAAGGTTTTTTCAACCATTAGTCACTTTTGCTTTTCCTAATCAAAATTATGCCTACACGTTCGTGTTCTATTTTAATACAAAATCTCATCGTTCACCTTGAGAAGAATTTTTTTTTTCTTGTGACAGAAATGAAGAAAAACGCAGTGAAGTTAAAAGAATGTTGAAAGCCACAGTAGATCCCCAGAAAAGATGACTCATCTCATGATCTTCTCTGATGGAAGGACAGCACCAACCTCTTAAACACATAGCTTTTTTCAGCTCTGCATAAGTTAAGAAAGTGGTTAAGTAATGTACTTGGAAAATTTTCATTCTGATCCTATATTTCTTCAGCACTGAGGGCTCCTCAGCTCTAGATTTTTAATTTAATCCATTTTATAAATAACTAATTACAAAATTGTGTGGAGTTAGGCTAAGTTCTGAATTTTCCTATGACTTGGGAGAATTCAGCCTAGATATTAAATTTTCACTTTATCTTTTAGCAGTAATAATGTATATACTTGACTGAAAACCAACCAGCTTGGACGTGTAGCCATAAGGCACACAATAAATTATAGACCCTGATCCAGAAATTTTTGAGTGTCTTAATACCGCTGGTGCAATTGCATAAAAATCAAATTTTGGGGAAACGTGATGCATCCGCCTCATCTATGTATGCAAAACCCGAATTTTCCCAGCAAGTAAGTGAACAAGAATGAGGTTAAATGGAGATGGTGTATGTTGAGCTGAAAAATATTAAACAAACACCCTCCCACCCCCCAAAAAGAGCAAGTCTCTTCCTCTTCCACTATAAACAAAGGTAGAAACAGAATCAAAGCATCTTCACTTTTTTCCTAGTATCCTGTTCCTCCAGTAGAATCAGAGACGCATGTTTAATAGTTTGCCCCAGAAGTAGGGTAGTACTGGCTGTTACCAGAACTACTAACTAGTGACATTAAAACTAATTAACGGCATAACGAGCTGACTCTGCTGCAGTGCCTGTGTGCAGCAGTATCATTTTGAACATAAGGAGATTAGACTGGTGGGTCGTCAAGACATCCATGCACAGTACGGAGAGTACAACTGCCAGTATTTCAACACTTAACAACAAGCAGTATTTTCTTTAAAACGTCCTTCGTGGTGGTTACGACCTCCCTAACAAGGAATGCAGCAGATGAGTAGGTAGCAAAGAAGTCCAGTTCTAGTGTCTTGGCCAAATTCCAACTTCAGTAATTACGCTCTGCTCTTAAATTCCCCCTGCAGCTCTACCAGAATAAAGCTCTTTTTCAGCTTGTCCTGAAGCATTGTGTAGTATTTCTGTGAAGCTGTACAACGCTGAAAAATATCTCTTCCCATTAAAATTGCAAGGGGAATTTAGGTAGACAGAAAGCTATTACCAGAGTTTGAATTTGGGCACGACACCAAGGTTAACTTACACTTGCGTTGGGATCAAGGGATCTTTGCTGACTAGGAGTGTCAGACCCTTGTTAAAGAGCACAAGTGGGAATAGCTCACTGTGCTGCCTGAATACAAACTTGGAAACTTGGGATCTCTGCACCTGGAAGTGACCGCAGGAATGTTTCCTAACAAATGACTCTGTATAAAAGCCTCTGGTGCTGTAGAGTATCTTATCACAACCTTATTTGGCTGTTTAGTAATATTCCTGAAATTATTGGTAAAAAAAGTTCCGACAATTTTTTTTGAAAAAAAAATCTTGACCAACAGAAAAGCAGCTATATAACCTACTTATGCCAAGGCACGTGTTTGAATTTCAGCAAGTAGATACACCAAGAACCTCTCAGAGTATTTCAGCGAGCTGAAAGCGTTGTGTGTTGTGCTAACAGACAGCAAAATGGAGAGCCTCTCAGTGGGGACTCATTTAAAACGTTCAGGTAACTGGCTCCCAAATTAGCTGATACCCAAAACCAAGAGAGTCATTCTTACTAAACTAGAATGCTTTAGAACAATCATTGTCCAAATTCCCATAAAAAGGAAAAGAACTCCCCAAATCCATCCACATACATTGAGTCCGTTTGCGATTTGTGCTTTGTGCCTTTTTTTTCCTTTTCTTTCTGTTGTTGTCTGTCTTTTTTCAGATTAGGGCAGCTGTACGCTTGGGGCTTTTATTTCACCCATTTCTTTGATCTCAACTTTCTCGTATTTTCTTGTCCGCAGCCACCTCAGAATGAGCAGCAGAGTGATGCCAAAGGCAGCAGTCAGTACCACCACTGTCACCACAGCACTGATGCCAGTAGCCAGTTGGCTCATGCAAAACTCTGGTGGCTTTTCATCAACATAGTAAATCCTTATTTTTTCAATATCCAGAGTATCTCCATTGACAGAAACGATTAATGTACTGTTAGAATGAAACACGGAGTCATGTTTTACGTCTTTTTCAAAGTAATAGGCTACGTCGGCGATATCTGCATCACACCCAGACTTCTCGGAGCCACTCTGGCTCAGGTGGATTTGGATAAGCGGGCAATCGTACTTGATACGAGTGATGTACTTGGGGTGCAGTTTGTATCGACTCTCAAACAGGTGCTTCAGGGTGTTTTCCAAGGCAGGAACATCGAAGGCACTGGACCTTTTTCTGTGCTTCATTTGAATGTAGATCAAGCTTGTTCTAACCAGTTCACGACAACTCAGGCTTTTGTCACCCTTCTCCGTTCTTCTGATGCCGGCAGTGTTCACACACCAGCAAGTGTCAGTTTGGTTGCACTGCCTGGCTGTGAAGACACCACTGTCCTTGCAGTCTGGATTGTAAATGCCATCGTTATCTAACAGCCCATGGGGACGGCCCTGGAAGCGCTTCTCCTTCAGGGGCGTCATTTCTGCCCTCATCAGCAAGCATTTGGAAGTCAGTGTTGAACAGTCTACCTTGTGATTGGAACCTACCAGCGTGCAGGTGCAGTTGCCAGATCCGTCCTCAGCACATTCCGCCCACTTGTTGGTCGCGCAGGTACAGTTGTTGTGTGCTGATGAAGCTCCCACCAGAGTCAAACCCAGCAGAACACCAAACAGAGGCTCCATACTGCAGGAGAAAAGCACGGATGAAGTCCGGAGCGATAGCAGGCAGGATCCAAAGCTATAATCCATTCAGGGAGCCTACTCGTTTCTACATGCTGGTGTGCTGCTCCCTTGATCAAGATTCAAATCAAACCCACCAAACAGGTTCTCCTTCCAAAACAACTGGCATCTCCTACCCAAATCCTAGAGAAGTCAACAAGCTGCGCTTTCATCTGTTGCTTCTCAGGGAGTGGCACCGATGCCTGCCTCCAGCTTCCTGCCATCCCTCTCACTTGATGAGGAAATAACAGGGAAGGGATAAAAGCCACCCTGAAGCATAGCTCCTACCTTGGGCTTCCTTTATAGGTTAAAGCACGAGCAGCTTGCCCTTTTCCTTCTGCAGACTTATTATGGACTATGTAAATGCATGTTTAAGGAATTTCTCCCATCTCCTCCACTTTCATTGTGGTTTTCCCTGTGTCTTCTATCACACAGCTTCTGTATCATTCCACTCTCTAGATTCTTACCAGTTACGGACTTCTTCCTTTCTACTTTCCTATATTTATAAAGCAAAGCCTTTTAGATTTTTATGGATGCTGCCTGGAGTAGCTGCCAATTCAGGAGGAGTGACTGTTCATCAGCTCGATGGCTGCTCTCCTACTTACAGAGCACAGGAACGCAGTCTCCTTTTCCAGCACGGAGAGTTTCTCTCCCCCCTTCCCTTTGGCACACATCCATCCCAAGGCAGTACTAGGAACGATGATTTTCATGCTTGCATTACCCTTACAAAGCTGTTAGCTGTTTCTGAAGAAATTTTTCAATCTGAACTTTGAGTAATGCCTTTTGCAGTACACTCCAGTAGCTCCCCAGTGTCCTAACGATCTACAAAGCAGGAGTTACCCTTTCCATGTGTTTTGGCAGCAGCTGAAAGGTATTTTCCAGTTTGCATTAAGCAAGTCCTCTTCATCTGATTTGTCAAACACTGCCAGACACTTTATAAATCATTATTTTCGGACAAGTAACGACCACGGAACAGCATACATGCTGTTTCCCTGTCCACACAACTTGCACGCTGCCTTGCAGTCAGCTCCTTTTCCCTCTGCTGCCGTTTTCCTGAGGGCCTGCCCTGCTTGAAATCAGTGCAAGCTGGGCTGCTTGTAGCCACAGCTTGCATCTGTGCCAGCAGTGGGAAGCTACCCTGGCTGCCAGTGAGTGTTTATGACGCAGTGAAGGTTTAAAATTAGAGCTCCAGGTGGAAATGCCCTCTACCACTAGAGAAGGACAAAATCTGGAGTTGAACTTTGCAGCAAGACTTATTTCCAAATAAGCTACAGAAACACACGCTACTTGAGGGAGCAAAGATGAGACAAGTTCTTCCAATTATTCCTGGCTCCTTTACAGCACGTTATCACACTTCTCCATTTCCCCTTCCTTCAGAGAAAAAGAACAGTAGTTACTTTTCTTAGAAAATAATTGAGATCTACAGCTAAAATTACTATTAAAATCTGTAGGTATTTCAAGTTGTCATATTGATGATTCTTTGATAATAGTTTAGTAACTCTTTTCCCATTTTTAATTTCCAAGTCATTCATTTACCTATAATAATCTGCTTTTTAAAAAAAAATTCACATTCCTCCTTCAAAGTCAAAATCCATTTAGCTGTCACCTACATACTCATATCTTGTCTTCGTTTTATTTCACGTTACGAACTTTAGAGAGAGTAAGTTTTGTTTTTCTTCTCCCTGGAGGGCAGAGCCTCAGCTGCTGCCAACTTACGGCTCATGACCGGCTTTGGGGAAGTGACAGCAATTTCTGTACGGCCGAGAGCTGCGCTGCCCCTGTCGTTAGAAAGCACCATGTGGATGGGCAGTAACAGGACCTTTTGGTAAGCAGCAGTTTGCTCCTTGTGATGTTTGCAGACATTCGTGTTTGGTCTCAGCCTCATAATACCATTTGGCAGTTTCCCTTTCTTACAGACACCGCCAGTGAAGCAGGGAGAAATTAAGTGGTTTGTCAAAAGTAATATATGGAAGAAAACTCACAGGTAACTAAACAAGATGCTCTGTTTTCCCTGCTGGTGGAAGATTCTCATTGCTGTTACCTTAATTAAAAACTGCATTCATTGTCTTTTCCCTCAAAGGCAGCCAAAGCATGACGACAGTTTTACAACAAACCCATCGCCAAGCAAAAAGTGTAGAACAGTGGCAAGAGAAGGGCAGAGAAGGAGTAATTGTAAGTTTCCCTGACGGAGCTGCATAAATTGCCAAAATAGAAGTGCACTTTTTCATTGACTTTTTTGTACTGGTAGATTTTCCTCTCTGTAAATAAGGAGAGAACACACTTATTTTAAAGACAAAAGTCTTTCCAAATACCTATATACATACATATATACATATTTATATAGATATTAAAAATATATATATAATGCTTTCAACACAAAAAAAAATAATTACTTCCTTTAATTCATGCTAAGCTGTAATGGCACTATAAGAGTTAATTCTTTAGAACAGCAGGCTGTAAAAGGAATAATCCTGCAGGAAATGTGGAGTGCATTATTTCTTTAGTGATCTCTGCTTCCATGGAAACAATTTCTCGGCACGATTCTAAATCTCATAAAAGTAGGGCACTAGGTCTATGTAAAACAGCAAGACATTTCCAATTAAACAACCAGAATGCTTTTATCTGAGCCATTAAATACTTTGTTCAGTATCAAATATGATTACAGCCTTCACTGGGATGTTAACAACCAGCTACTTCCCACGCGCTGGCTCCGCGGGGCCGGATGCAGCCACCCTGCACCCGTATCCCAACGTCCCTCACCTCCTCAGCGGGGTTTGCAGCAACAGCACAGCCCCTTTCCTTCCCCCTGCAGACACCAGGCGGCACCGCCCTGCCCTGCCATGTCGTTTGGGGTGCCCCGGGCACCTCCCTGCTGCTTGCCTTCCACCTCCACGCTGTCCCTCTCAGCTCAGCAATGCCCAGCAGACCAAATTCTCTGCTAGTGCAGCAGGAAAGAGTTAATCTGGCTCCTGCTGCTGGCAGAAACAGAGCTAGAACCAACACCCTTGAATCAAATTTGGGTAATGAAGATAGTTGTTGGAAAGGTAATCTGATGATCCTATTCAGAGTTCACTGGTGTTGCCCGTGAAAACAAACTCCTTACATTACTTTAGTGATGCTACAGCCGGGATTGTGTCTGTGGTAACACTGTGGAAAACGTCCATCTACCATCTTGGCATCCCTGCCACAAAGTACCACTGGATAGAAGGAGACTAAAGCAGAGGGTTTGTAAGAACAAATGGAAAAAAAACCCAAACAAAGCAAAAATCTATACCAAGCCACACAGCTACTGCCCACAAAATGTAATCACTAGCCAGAAGTTCACACGCACCAGTAAGAACAGGTTCTGCTCGTAGTTCGAACCCTTTTTTGTATCAGCGGTAGCAAAACCCCCTCTAGTGGTATTAAACTCAGTTAAGTCATTTTGTCATTGTTACTGACTCGGAGTAAATACCAATTTTAAGCTCAAGAGACGAGAAACTATTACAAAGATGGATCACAACTTTCCAAGGTACTGCATATCCAGTCTTTATTAGTAAACTCTTGTATATGACCAATCAGGAATATCGAAGCAAGCAAAAGGAAAAAAGTACTTAATACCAACGGCAACAGCATCAACTTTTTTTGCTTGGTCGGTTTGTTTTCCTCAGCTGAATTGTTCTTGGAAAGTTACTTATTAAAAAATAAAAGAAAACATGGGCATTCCCCTCCCCTCCCCTGGAACACAAGGCATATACCCCGTGAAGAAAACTGGGATAGCAGAACTTGACTCTGCCAACAAATGCCCATAGAGGTTATTTGCCAAAAGTCACATCTTGGGAGTTCTGGGTTTTTTGTTTGTTTGTTTCTTCGGTTTTTGAAACTGTTGACTCTTCCAGGTTAAAGTGTATCATTTTACTTCCCACTCAACCATTTCCCATGTCCTGAGCAACAGCTTGTCAAGGCCTAATAGCTGGTCTTGCATAAATTGTGTATTAGTCTGCAATAGGTACACTAAAACAAAGCCAGCATAAAAATAATAGCTGGATGGAAATTAGAAAAAGAGCTTTCCAATGAAAAATATGTAACGCCTTGTATGTGTTTGGTAGCAGAACCAGTAGTATTAGTAAAACAGACTTTTATCTTCTTAGAAGCATGCAACTTCCCAACTCATACTATTAGCCATACAGTCAAAATAAATGATGAAAAGTAGGTTAGTCATTTCCTTACCACAGCTCCTGCCAACAAAACTGTCATTTAGCATCACAAAGGTGGTATTTCCAACTGACATACAACACCGTGTCACAATGCTGGATTACGATGGTGCTGGCGGTTACGTTTCCTCCCGCACCACTCACTCCCCAACTCGGAGAAATGGAGGCTGGGTGTGTGTACCCAAGGCTCAATACTGCACCATGTCCACGTCTCCAGAGACAAACTGCTTCAAAAGCATGTTTCACTCAAAGCTTTTCTTATGTCACATCACCGTTAAATCCAATTAATACAACTGTATTAGCTTAACTCATTGTAATCATTCAACAGAGATGGGGCCAGCGCATCGTTACCGCTGCTTGGGTAATACTGACATCCATCTAAACCTCCGGGAACAGACCGTACGTGGACAAACATTATCCACTCCGTATTGCTGTTACACAAGAGGCTCCAAAGTCTCTGCCTACAAATCAGAACTAATTACAGCTTTTAGCACACGTATTGATACTGTCTGACTTTTCCAGAGTAACCTATGCAAAACTGCAAAAGAAACCTTACACTGCAGACCGCTCCACCAGTCAGGAGGGAAGGAATGCTTTCGCACCAGGAGTGTAGATAAACTAGAAATAGAGAAGGCCATGCAGTATTTTTAACTAGGAAGTCCCAAAGATGATGTTGTCAGATATATGCAGACCAAGTCAACATGCCTTAGATAGACGGACACACCAAGTTTGTAAATGGTACATTAATGGGATGTAAAGCTGTGCCCCGGC